GGGCAGGGAGAGTGAGCTCCTGGGCCGGAGATAACAACTCTTCCGGCCCTGGAGCCACAGCAGGAAAGGCAGCTCCTCCAGCCTGGAGGGTGGAAGAGTGCCAGCTCCTCTGGCCGTGGGGGCACAGAAAGTGCCCTGCCAGAAGTGGACAAATTTTTATTCCCATACATGCCCCTGCTAGCTTGCTTTCAGCAACGGCTAATACCTTAAAAGAAGCTTGAAAGAATGGGGCTGTCCAATTTGTTCTCTAATATACAGGGGGTGAAAAATAAAATCCTGAGCTTGTCTAGGTTGTCAGGAAACCATTAAGTATAGGGGGTAGAGCATGAGACTGGGATGCAGACCTGGCTTCTAATCCCAGCTCTGATATTCACTAGCTGTATGTATGATGCAGATCAAATACTTAATCTTTCTTGCCTTAGGTACCACAGTGTAGCATGGGGTAACTCACCTTTGAAAAGCACTTTGAGATCTACAGCTGAAAAAGCACTACATAACTGCACATAATTCATTACGATCAGCTAAATTGATTACAACCACCACTGCCACTCATAAGAGAGCATGTAGAATATATTAGTTTACCAGGAAAATTTTTACCATTTATTTTTATTGGGTTGGGTTCTGTTTTTTGATATTTTAAATTGCCACACATTCAGTAGCAAATGTTTTTGATAATATTAAAATTCCTACTTTTGCTCTGCCAAGTCACTTTCTTTTCTTCCTTCAAATCCTTCCTAAAAGATTAACTTTTTCTGGTTTCCCCACAAGTAATGAATAACTTAACATAAGCTACCAAAAGAAAAAAAAACTTCTTCATCTTCCAGTTGTGACCTGTCCACTCTGTGTCTATTCAGCTGAGAGTGTACGTTCTGTGGGACAGGCTTTATCTTGTGAAGCATTGAGCACAGGGCCAGCAGTTTAATAAATTTCATCATGCAACAGTTGAACATGTGAGATGTTTTTCTTATGCAGCACCTTTTGTTAACACCAGTTTAAAATAAGGTGGGCAAACTAAAAGTGTTGATCTATAATTAGCATGCTAGGAATACACCCCAAAATAACTTGAAGGATCATTGTCAACTTAAATTACATTAGTGGAACTTTTTGTATTTATGATGCTAAACAGCCCTGTCACTAAAGATGTGTAAGAAAATATTTCCTTTTTACTTGGCGCTATCAAATGCAGTGTTTTAACCATATTACTGTTTAGTTGCTGGTACTTACTTTAGCATTAATCTCAAGCTCTGTTCTCAGTGCGGGAAAAGGAAAATTTACATTGCAGCTTAAGGGTATGCCTAGACTGGAACTGGAATCTGTAAATTTAAGCTTGAGAACACAGCCATTCTAGCTATGATCAAGTTAACAGGCTAAAGCATATAGCCACAGTGGGATGAGGGGCTACTCCCCAAACTATGATCCCAAGAGACCTTAAATGGGTACTCAGGCAGCTATCCCACCCCCCTCCCATTACACCTCCACCCTTTTTAGCACACTAGATCAGTCAGAGCTAGCATTGGTATGTCACCTCAAGCTGGAATTTACACCTTCCAGCTCTAGTGTAAAATATGCTCAGTCACAGGCCCTGCAAGAAGGTGGTGTTGCTGAATTGCTAGCAGAGCTTTTGATGTTCCTGAGTTAGTGGCCAAAAGGGTGGTTTTATTCCTCTTAGGAGCCAGGGCTAGGAAACCCCTTCAAACCCTAGGCCCCTGCAGGCATTAGTGGAACAATAAACGTGAGAAAAGCTGCTTCAGTCTCCAGGCTCCCACATGGGTCCACAAAGGAACAGTGGCTGAGGCAGCTGAGACCACTTCCCAGGCTTCCTTGGAGCATCCCCATGAGCAGAGGTAGGTAGAGTGGTGTTCGTTTCTTAGGGGATGGGGGGAGCCTTTATTTCAGTGCTATTAAAGAGGGTGGGAGAAACAAGTGGGGGAGAAGAAAAGGAACAAGCCTGTCCCCTGTCTTACTAAAAATAAAACCCTTATAAATATCCATGAGGAGCAGGAAGCTTTAAGAAATCAGGAAACTAAAAGATTCTATCAAAGTTTTTTTATCTTACTTTTTTTATTTAAGTTATTAACACTGACAGTGCCCCTTTCAAGAAGCAAATTTACTACTCCCAACAGGTCCACCAAGAACTTCGTCAGCCCCCAAAGGAAACAAAGTGAAAATCTACACTGAGAAGTACTTCTCCAGGTCTACAATGGCAAGCTTACAGCAGCAGAGCTGTACCGATACAGCTGTGCCACTAAGATCGCTCGTGTAACCACATTATGCCAACAGGAGAGAGCTCTCCTGTCGACATAAAACCAGCTCAACGATTGGCGGTAGCTATGTTGGCGGGAGATGCTGTCCCACCAACATAGAGTTGTGCACACAAGTGCTTACGCCGGCAAAACTCATGTTGCTCAGGGTGTGTTCCTCCCCCCCCGAGTGATAAAAATTTTGCCGACGTAAGTGCTAGTGTAGACATTGCCTAAGAAAAGCAGTGTGAGGTTCTGTTTGTCTCAATTTCTGTAGCTCCATTTACAATTAAATGTTATCAGCCAGCCCTGTACACAATCTAATCTCAGAATCAAGTTGGCTTCTTTCAATCTTGCACATCATCACAAAGGTTTTTGCAGGCAAAATTATGCCCTCATTACACCTTTACAACCCTATTGTGTCCAGTGAGGTTTGCACACACATAACTGGCTGGAATTTACAAAATTCCATTGATGCTCAAGATGTAATAAAATCTAACTTGATATGAGGTGTTGATCTTTCATGAGGTAAAAATTTATTAACTAAAATTGAATAGGCAATTCTAAATATACACAGCAGCTGAGTAAGGCTGTCCTGTTTATACATTGTCTCTTTCCAGAGTAGAGTCTCATTTTAAAAGTACAGTTGGGCATACACTGTACACTAAATTCCCAATTTAATTTTACTCTGGGAAGAATGACAGTATGGGCAAGTGCATGTCTAACAGGGCAACAGTAGGGTCTACTGCCACATGCAAACCTGACTATGACTCAGCTATAAAGGATTAGTCTTTAGTTGGTGAAAAGGTCATTCAGTCTTTGACCTTATTACCTACCAAAAACGGAGTAATTGCCAATTATGGTGTTTTGTGATGTAAATACCCATCCCCTTATGAACTTGATTAAAACTAAATTTTGTTTATATAAGACACTGAACAGCCATTAAATGGCAATGTGGTTTTGTTGTTTTGCCATTACCAGCCTAGACTGAATTGGAACTAGCAACCCAGAAGTGAAAGTTTCTGTTTCCGATTAACAGTTTCCATCACCATCTGTCCCACTGGAGTTTCATTCTAAGCACTGAATGTGACCCTATCTACATTTTCTATACCAGAATTAAGATACTTTTCATTTTCACATTTTAGCAGCTCTGCAAAGGTATGACACCTAAGAATAAAACAGTTAAATTCAACCATCCACCTCTGACAGAATTATAAAATATTCCAAGAAGCCTAGGTTAACATTTACTATTTCTGGTTTTTATTAAGCTTTTCCACAATATTTTAAAACTGGCTCATAAAAGTAGCTTGTAATGATGCATATCAGTTAAGTATAGTTATATAAATTAACTCACTACCCCAATATTCATGAGCAGTATTTTTAACACTGTTTTAAAAAAGATATTAATATATTGGCATCCTAATATTTTAATCAAGTTAGGATGTGTGAGTTGATTCCCTAATTATTGCAAGGAATGAGTCAAAGTCTTCCTAGCACCAATCTGAAATAAACCAGACTCCAAAGTACTGTAAGTTACATGCCAATCCCCTGTAACAAGAGGATCAAGACACTAACACTACATCTATATTTGGAGCTGAAGATGTGTTTCCCAGCTCATGTAGATGTACCGGTGCTAGCTTTGATCAATCTAGCATGCTAAAAATAGCAGTGTTGCCAGAGTCGCACAGGCAGCAGCAAGTGGCAGCATGGGTTAGCTGCCTTGAGTAGGTACCCACTGGGTCCGGGTGGGATACAATCAGGGCAGCTAGCCCATGCGACAGCTCACGCCTGCCCCGCTATTTTTAGCATGCTAGCTTAAGGAAAGCTAGCACAGGTATGCCCGGGAACCACACCCTCAGCTCCAACTACAGACATAGCCTAAGTGCAATGTCTCAGAGAAAAGATAGACAGAAGTAAGCTCTTTATGGCAGGGAATTTTGTTCTTTGGTCAGCATATTCTTAATACTTCAAGTACTATATACAAATAAGGTGTTACATAAATAAACATTACAAAACATTGCATCACTAAGGCAACAGGATCTGTGGAAAGGACTTCAAGACTTCTCAGAGAAACCTGCAGGTGCAATGGATAACCACAACCTTGGCTGTTAACACGTAGATGCTAAGGGCACTGGTTTCAATTAGGTAAATGCAAAATGGTTTGGTAGAAACAAACAAACAAAACAAAAAAATAAAAACAAATAAGGGATAAAATTATTGTCCTGAAATTTTATCTTCTTTTCAAATGATCTGAATTAATTTGGTGCTCATAAAAATGAGGGACCGACAGCACTGGCTAGAGCCAGACAGTGCAGACAGGCGCTGTGAACACCACCTCATGCAACTCTTGATACCACATCACATGAGTATTTCAGTTTTGGGCTTTGCCTGAGTCCCAGATATGCCAAAATCTATCAGATTAGATGGTCGTTTTGTGTGGTGAGCTCAAAAACAACAAAACCCACCATCAGTGAACAATTTATCTTGTGACCTATAATATTTAGGAGTCAAATTTAGCCATGGCATAAGTAAATCCAAGTGACATTCAGTAGAACCATATGTTAGGGCTTGTCTACCCAGTGTGTTCACCTGCACGAGAAGGATGTAAAATTCTAGAGCACACTACCATATTGCATACTAACTGGCCCATGTGAACCTCACTGGCATGCACTAAAAATTCCCTAGTGTGTGTGAATGTAGTCCTGTTTGAAACAGGACTACATTCACACACACTAGGGATCTTTTAGTGCGTGCCAGCAGGATCCATACAGGCTAGTTCGTATGCAACAGAGTAATGCACACTAGAATTTACACCCTGCTCTTCTAGTGCTGACTAACGCACTGTGTAGACAAGTCCTTAATCTAGGTTCCAGCTTAAATTTGATGCCCAGAGGCAAGTGTGTTAATTCAATCCATCCAAACTCTTTACAAGATTTTTAAATGTACAATTAAATTATTTAGGGAATTAATATTCAAGACGAGTAACAATCTTAATCCAAGTCCATCGTATAAACATTCCTACAGACATTTAAACTAAATTCTATGTTCTAAAGCATCATCATATTCTGGGCTCAATATGTTATGTTTAGCACTTGCTACAGACCATTACCATGCAAGATACGTGATGGTTTAGCACCAAAAAACAGTAGTGTCTATCTTTAGCACTGTACCTACTAAGAACTAGACATCACCAGCATGACTCATGCAAGTACTAAAGGAAACCTGTACGTTTAAACACTATTGCATTCCCCCAATTTTTTTTTTTAAATAAAAAACCTAGATTCCACTTTTAAGCATTCAACTTGGTACAGTGTACATGCTATTAACAGTTACTGTTGAAAATTTTCCCAGTTTTAATACATTCAAACCATTACTGTTTATACTGTTTTACTAGAACTAGTGTTTTATATATTACTCTATTTTCCATTCAAATATTTTGCATCTATTATCAGAAAACTTGAGTACACATACATTAAGAATTAGGTAGACAATCAAAAGTTGCTTGCCCTGAAGGAATAGGCAATCAACTCAAGCTTTTCCTTTTTTAAAAAAAACTTCACAAATAGTTGCACCAAACTGTATAATCTTAATCAGAATTCAAAGAACAAAATCTAAATTGATTTGTGATCCAGAACTAGGCAAGGTGCTTTCAACTGGCAGCATTTTCAGTCTGCAGTCGTTCAATCAGCTGTTCAGCCTGCAGGAAAAAAGAAGCAATATATTAACCCTATGACCGATGGACCTCCAGTTTAATAACTGGTCTTCCACAAATCCCGAATATCCCACTGAAAGCAACACATTTAGTTTAAAGGTGGATATGTACCAGATACATTAAGCAGAACAGTGAGTGTTTCTTGCTTCACATAGCCAGGATGTATACCAGAAGTTACATCTGCTAGAGCAACAGATTCACTAGTTTTCTCCCTCCACCACTGGAGGGTTAGTAGGTCAGCAGAAAAAGGAGAAAGTTTTGAGACAATTGGTATGACGACTGGTCAAGCGTGGGTCACCCAGGCAGGGTGTTTTGGAAACCTAAGAGGAGACGTATGCTTGGAAACACCTGAGTTATGAAAGCTGGGGCACAAGGAGCTGGTACTGCTGTTGACTTCATATTCAGACACCTAGCTAAGCAAAGGTAGGGCAGCCTACGGGTGACTCATCAACATGGAAGGACAATGTGAAGGGGCCCCCAAGTGAGACATAATGTGGAACTTACTAAAGGATTTGTAGGGATACCTAAATTCCTTTAGCAGACTAAACTGGGGCACACTAGGTATTAGGCATGAGGAGCCCTAAACCTCTCTTAGATGGCCCCTAAGAGCCAAGCTAGGAGCAACTCGGTTGACAATTGTAACTGGGAGTCTAGGGTATTTCTGACCTTTTCTGCCAGTACTATTAAGTTATCCTTTCCATTTGAACATGTGTCTGAAGTCTTACTGGGACCCACTAGGTACTGGAACCTAAAAACGCAAGCAGCTTAAGTGCCTCAATACTTGCCTTCAAGTCATTAATATACTTGCTAACTGTTATGGGACACCAGACCTCTAGCATGTTACCAAGCTCACCTGGTGAGGACAATTAAACAAGGTTAAATAGCCTTACAGTTCATTTGCTATTAAAGTTAGGTAATTTAATTTTGAGTTCTACAATTTAATATAATTCTGAATCTTGATTTCCATTCTTTCAAAATCAAGTGTCATATAAAAATTCAAGTATGTTTTCTATTTTATGTTATTTGTATTTATCTTTATAATGTCATCTCAGAAAATTAAAGGGGCCCTCTCTTGGCTTTTTATTCCCCTTTACAGATCCTATGTCCCAGCAACACTCCCTTAGCCCAAATGCAAGGCAGGGATTTTTCTAGCACTTATATGGAGGGTCTGTCTCATTTAACAGGATAATGCTGCTGTACTAAAAGTGTAGGTTTTTCTGTTTGTTCAGCACAGCTGTAGCCCAGAAGCCTTCCCTGCCCTGCCAGCATGCCTCAAGCCTTAAAAGATAACTTCTCAAGATTAGTGAATTATTCAGTCTCCATGCCAATTCTGCTCTTAGCCCCTCTCAGTGGAGATCTGGCACTATTTGGTACTTTTGCTGCAACAGAAAATGTTTTTTGTGAAGTGGACATTTGTGGACTGGACTGAGATCAGCAAAACAGCACATAAGCTATTGAACAGCAGCCATCAGATGGCAGTAACTTTTCACTCAAGCAGGATTGAACTGGTGAAATGCTATGTATCCCATTAACAATTGAGGGAGGGATAGCTCAGTCATTTGAGCATTGGCCTGCTAAACCCAGGGTTGTGAGTGCAATCCTTGAGGGGGCCATTTAGGGATCTGGGGCAAAAATCTGTCTGGGGATTGGTCCTGCTTTGAGAAGGGAGTTGGACTAGATGACCTCCTGAGGTCCCTTCCAACTCTGATATTTTATGAACAATCTCTTAGGCTATCTTCTGCTCACAAGTATTTTTTCTTGTTTCCAAGTTTTAATGTATTTGCATTTTCAATATAGGCCATATATTAGATCTAAAACTACACAATAGTTTGTACTACTCATATTTTAACACACATTTTCCTTAAAAAGGAAAAGGCTGTAAAAGGTCAAAGTAAGGCACACTGAGTTTTACCTTGACATTTGCTCAAGGAAGGTATAAGTAATCCTGAATTAAAAATTATACAAATGTCTTTCTCAAAATAACTGTTCAAACAGTAGTTTTAACATAGATAACTAAAGATTTTTGCATTGTATTATACATTTCAAACTAGAACCTTGCACCCTTCCTCTGCAGCACAGGGCACTTGCAGGTTAACTAGAGTAAATCATGGATTCTCTGTAACTTTAAGTCTTTTAATCATGATTTGAGGACTTCAGTAACTCACCCAGAGGCTACGGGTCTATTACAGGAGTGAGTGGGTGCAGTTCTGTGGCCTACAACGTGTAGGTCAGATTAGATTATCACAATGGTCCCTTATGGCCTTAAACTCTATGAGTCTAATCCAACCCGAACCCAGTGGGACCCGACTACAAGTGTTAGGTTAGATCTGAAAACAGTCGAAACATCTCAGGCTTGGGTTGAGTAGGCTCTAATCTCCTCCTCCTACCCGTGGGGTCGGTGCACCAACAGCTGCATACTCTGTTCTTGCTGCCCACTGACACCTTGCTGTGCTGTGTATGAGGAGGAATGGGAAGTTCTACAATTCATTGGCACACTCACTCCACAGCACAGCAACTGTCCCAACTTCACCAGAGATGAATTGCAGGCATGGGGAGAAAAGCAGCGCTCACCATATTGAGGACATGGGGGTGACAATAATTCAGGTTCAGAGGGAAGTGTTGGATTCAAGTTGGGCTGGGTCTGAAAACAACTCGACCCTCTGAGGCTTGGGTAGGGTTTAGGTTGCCTATGGGGCCCACTGGATTTGGATCAGGCTTTAAAATTAGGCCAGAGCAGATCACTATTTCAAATCATTTGAAAGCTTTCACAATTTATGCTTGCAACTGGAAACCTACCAAACCAACTGTGCCGCACTTACCGTGATAAACCAATAGGAATTGATTCTGTATATCATCCTGGACAAGAATCCCAGCTGACTGGCTGGGGCCAGGACATGAAGATGTAAGTGGGATATTGAGCAGAATGGAGGCCAGTGGAATCCCATCCTTGAGAAGAGTGGGGGAGGGAAAAAAACATCAGCTGCATTAATTCAGACAGAGGCTAGAACATCTTAAAACTATGTCATGGGATGATTGTGTTGAACTGTAGATTTTTGTCTGGAGTACCAGAATTACTTCACAGATCTAGCAGCAAACACAAATATTTATGTGACCAAACAATTTTTTTTTTTTTATTTTCACTGCTTCCCCCCCCCGCCCCAAAGTCATAAACTTGAAATGACAGAAGCTACAATATGTGTTAAGGGGTATTTTTCTTTGTTTAAGTCAAGCGTTGATACAACAACATGAATACCCTTTCCTTCACACAGGCTGTCAAGACAGCATCTCAATTTAGGGGATTATTTCTCACTTAATGTTGGCAGTTAAATATATTTTCCTATTAAGAAAAAAAAGATTTTAACATACTACCAAAAATGCATCACATCTAGCAGTGAAATCAGCAATAAGCTGTCTCCTCAATGAAAGGTACCTTCCAACTTCTTCAGCCACAAAAATATGTCCCTATCCATTCTGGGAAACATGGTTCAAGCCCAAAGTATTTAAATATGGTTTTAAAGCATTTAAGGATAAGATGATTTGAAACACGGTTTTGCTTGCTAGCACGGCAGGGGCCCAACTCTTTTCAAACAAATTCTTTAAAACAGCATTTGAGACTAGCATAAGCTCAACCACATTCAAACTCATCTCAAACAGAGACCCAGGGTTCCATACGGATAGGGCCAGGAAGTTCATCTCTACTTTGGACTCCAAAGCATGCTACTGGCACCTGGTCAGGGCAGCCTTTTGAAGTTTGTTTAAAATTTTCCCCAAGGCCTGGCCACAGACAAACTTCAAACTGCAACACTATTTTGTTCCATTCAACATTTTCTAGAAAACAAACAGGAAACTAATTTCATATAAAATCATGCTACATTTTACCAAATAGTCAGATCAAATTAACTCTGCACTAGAAATGTATCAGTGGAAGAATAGTTTATGGTCCCATGTTTGTGCACTCTATCAGAGAGCTCATGCTGTATTTCAAATCCTAATCAACTCCTAAGTCCATTTCTCTTCGACAATTAACCATGCTGCCCTTGCTACCACTATCAGACAAGTACTGTTGTAAAAAAAGTCAATAGTGTACTAGATATATCCAGAAAGCAAGTTATATACCTTATATCGTTCAAGTCAGTAAAATTATTTTGCTGAAGGATGTTCTTTCCAGCTTCCATCATTTTCTCCACTAAGTAGAAAAGAATGTAAAGTGAATGTAAACTCTAAATGTAATGCACTAAATGCCTCTAAATTATGAGGAATCTAAAAAAAATGGGTACTTCTCTGTAACAGCCCCAAACTCTTCCAGTCCATAAGAATTGTTTTGTAAAATACTATTTTAAAATTTGTAACAATTTAGTAGCAGGGATAAATTGGAAAACTCATGGGATTGATAATTAAATACAAACCCTTTTCCTTTCTAAGTCACTGATTTGTATCTAGCGCAGATTGTTAGATGTGGCTGTCTGATAATGAAAGTGAAATGCAGAGGTGGTGTTCATCCACTTTAGTGGTCAAACTTCCACATAAAAAAACTTCCACCCATATTTTGGCACCATTTTTGGCAGCTTCAGCAAGGCCAAAGATTTATCTTCTCATGCCTAAAACCTCCAGGCCAATGCTGATGCATATTAGTGGGTCAGAATGGTGAAGTTTGCTCTGTTGCCCCCAGTGATGTATCTGCTTTATAGACAGCTGCAGGACTTCAATCTCTAGGGCCTAGCATTTTTCTTAAAGTCTGACAGCAGCAAATAGGACAAAGGCCAACCTACACTAGTACTCCAAGATGCACTGGTGTTAGTGAAACAGTAAGAGATGTTAAGAAAAAATGCCAGAATAGACAAGGACTAGGACTGTTAATCCAGAATCTTTCAGATTCATTTTTAAAATTCTTGGTTGTTTTTTGTTGTTTTTGTTTTTTTTTTTTTTAACTTTTTTGAAGTTTAACTAGGTTCAATGAGAAACTCAGACAAAAAATAATGTTCATGTTAACAAGAATAAACATTTCATAGTCGCTCTTACTGATTCTTAACACACAGTTAATCAGAACCTTTCTTGCAGACTAAGGCAATCATGGAGCGTGGCCAGGATTTTTTAAACCACAAAAGCTTTGACATTTTATGAATGCTACAAACTGATTAAAAACAAACAAACCAAAAAAAAAACAAAAAACAAACTCTAATCTGTTCTCGCTGAAACTGCACCTAGCTTTAGAAACTGCACTATCTTTCCAACATCATTAATAAGCAATATCCCAATTTAGCCCGGGTAGTAAAGCTAGTAATAAAATACCTTCCACATACTTATTTCTTCTCTCCATTCTCCGAATGGAAAAAAAGGTTTTCTGAAAAGCACTAACAAAGATTCTCAACCAATTTAAACTACATCTGCAACTTCAAACAAGAAGAAATAGCTATATTCTTGGATCTTAGGGCTTGTATACACTGGCAAATTGTTTGACATAGCTAAAGTAGAATTATTAACCCAAAACAGAGTATCCACACAGAGGACTTATACCACCATAGCCACAGCAGAATAATTATAACTATTCTGCTATAGCTATGCCAGTCAAATTCCCTGTGTAAACAAACCCTAATATACTACTAACCAGTAATCCTCCGATACTGAGATGGAGGAAAACCAGTGACCTCTTAATAAAACAAAACCAAAAAAATTGACTTTTTAAATTTAAAATCAGCCTTTTCAAATTTAATTTTTAAAGGTTTATTAAAATAAATACACTTTGACAACATATGTCAAGGCCTTGACCTAAACTTAATATAATCTATTAAAATAATTTAAATAAATATTCAAGCAGTACATATTTGCTGCCAAAGTTTTAAAGAAAAATCAAACCACTGAACTGGTGGAATACACTCGCTAATTGCTAGAAGCAGGGTTTGAAGATGTTCTAAACCAGCTTTTGACAGCATTTGCCTCTTCTGCAGGTGCAGAGACAATATTTTCTACATTTCATTTTTTTCAATTTGTTCAATTCAAGGACTAGTTCATTCAAAGTTGAGAAACCAATCAGAAGTTGAAAAAAGCAGGAAAGCATGTTTTCTTCTTCCAATCTATGAATAAAACTAGGTGTGAAAGGATGATACTTACTAGTTCTAAAATCCTGAAGGACATGGTGACCAGTGCCAATCAGTTCAATGCACTAACTACAGATACTCTGCCTTTTGTTTAAGAAATCCATTTTAAATGCAAAATTTGTTGTAATGGGCTTTTTTTTTTTAAATGCAGCACAGTTAAGGTTGTTTTAGTTAAATAAAACTATTTTAAAATATTGTTTGTGCATTTTTATTGAATTTCATTTTCCTTCCAAATACAGTTTGACAAATCAGAAGTAAAATGTATCATCTAGTAAACAAGAAGTGAATCATTCACTAATTTCTAACATAAAAAAATATAATAATTAAGAATCTGAATAAATGTGTGATGTCATATATTGAATAAATGTATAGATCTAGTGTATCCTTCTGGTTAGCATGAAGTACCAAATCACACCAACCTTTCTTTAGGAAAAGAATTCCCAAAAGTACACCTGCAAAACTAGATTTAAATCAATCACTTAAAATCAATGCTTTCTGTTTGCTGATTTAAGTCATGATTAAAATCTTATTTAAATCAATCTACCCTGACACTGTTACCCATTCCCATAATAGATCTTTATCCACAAAATAAGCAATGCTCAAAACTACAATGCAATTGACAATATACTGTGGCATGCATCTCTACAGGAATAAACAACGATCCACAACTGTTTTCTTTTGATTCATGCAATAGCCGTAGTTACAGTCTTACCTAGTGGTATGTGCTCTTTCTTTAGAGTCTTGCAGTTTCCCATATGCTCTATTGGCACTATTAGATAATGGTGTGGGGCCCCAGGTCTGATATCTCTAAAACAGACTAGGCCTTCAGACTAATGGAACAACAACAAGATATTAATCTGTTATTAAAATTAACACATTAGAAAACAGCAGATAACATAAAATCACTTTTACTGGAGCTGAAGTGGCATTCACACAGTGGAGCATTCTATGGTTATTCAAAACACATTATAGTTCTATAAATTGTAGCATTAGCTTCACAAGTATTTATCTCAGTGATGTATGAGATGTATATTGGAATTAGTCCACAAAAAGCAATAATGCTTGTAAATAGTTACATCATCAGCCACTCCCCATCCAGGCCTCCCCAGTTCTGATGCTCGCCTACTGTAAGGATACTGCTCAGAACAGTGAGAAATTTCGAGTGACTGCCTTTCTGATGAACATTTCACTAATATCTCCATCATATTAGTGGAGGAGGTCTTCCAGCTTTTTAGCTATGCAAGCCCCAAACCCACAAAGAACTCTGTACAGGCAGACCCCTGTGTTTATTTAGAGCCCCATGCACGTTCAGGGCTTAAACTTGTGAATTATTGTATTGGTCCAATACCACCACATTTAATCTACAGAATGATTATGGATAAAACTAAGAACCTGTCATTTACTGACATTTGGAAATTACATTTTCCCTACAGATTAAGTGAAATGATAAAGAATAAATCAGACATATTTTAACTCAAATACACATTTTTAGCTACATCTACTGCTACAAGCCCCCAAACCTCAGAGTTAAGATTGAAAAAAGTTTAGTTCTACCCTCATACTCTACTGTTGGACCCCACCCATCCCACTTTCTGGGCAAGGCAGGGAAGAATGATTTAAGTTAAGGCAGTTTAAATCTTGTTCCAAGCAGCAAGACATTAACAAGCAGCAGATGAAAATAGCCCCAGAACTGACTAGTTATCTAGAAAAAAAACAGTAGATTCGGTGAGTTACAGATCATTCAGCTAGAAATACTGAGATTTGGACAATCCCAACACTGGCTCTGCAGCACAGACTGCAAGTCTTTATTTGCTTGCTACTGTTCAATAATAAGGAGAATGGAAAATAATCTATAAAGTCATGAATCGCCGCATCTTTCGCAGTGTTTTTGCTCAGTCGAGTCTGGGGGACCCCTGCACTTCCCTTGGGAGCCCCTGGGCTCGGTTTCCCAGACCTATGAGAAAATTCTCCTTCTCTCAACTGCAGGATCAGCAACTTCGGCTGCTCTTCCCACGGGTTAGCGAAAGAGGAGACAAACACCAGGGTCTGCTACACTGCACTGGCCAGGTCTCTCCCACCCGCCCCGGGCTCTCAGCCGGCTCGCCAGCCCCGCGCTGTCACTGGCGGCTCCGCAGGGCGATGCCCGGACACCCCGGCTTAGACACGCTTCACTGTGGGGTCCCCGGCTCCTCACAGCGCTTCCGGGGCCGCAGGGCGAGGCGCGCGGGGGCAGGGCTCAGAGGGGCCGGCAGGGGAGGGCTGGTGCTCGGCGGTGCCCGGCTCCCCTCACCTCGCAGGGCAGCAGCGCGGTGCCCGGCTCCTCCCGGCGGCCGATCCTGCAGAAGACGCACTTGCCGTCGTAGCCGCCGCCACTGCCAGGGCTCGGGTCCGCGGGGGGCTGCGCAGCCTCGGGGGCGGCGGCTCCGTCCTCCCCGGCCATCGCTCAGCGCTGCTACCGCCTCCCTCCGCCCGCGATCAGCACCAGCCACCCGCTTCCCGGAGCCCGGCGCAGCCGCCGTGTCGACTACTACAGCGCCCCCTGCCGGCCTCAGGGAGCCTCAGCCACTCCCCCTCCCCGGAACTATACAGCAGGGCGCGGGGACACGTGACTCTGAGCGGGCTCGTGGGCAGGCGGCGCGCGGTGCTAACGGCGCTGAGAACTCGAGGCGTCTCCCTCGCTCTCTGCGGGGGCGGGGCTGTGGGCTCGGCCAGTGGCCATGGCCGTTCTGCTCCAGCCTCGGGCGCTGACTCCCCTGCGTACTCCAGGCCTAGGACCGGGCTGGCGCGCGGAACCCTGGGAGGACCGCGTCCCCCAGCCAGGCTCAGCCCGGCCCGCGGGGGAGGTGCAGGTGGAGGCGAGACACTGGCAAGGAGACCTGTAGATGGCACCGGCGGCGCAGCGCTTGGGGGCGGGGCGGGGCTGGGCGGAGAGGGTGTTGTCGCGCGCAGGTCCCAACGCAGGGGGCGCGCGCGCAGGACCAGGGAGCGAGGCGCCGAGGGGGTTGCGCTGGGACCGGGTGTCTCTAGTAAACCCCCGATGCTGTTGGTGGCTGTGGGGTGCCCTGGGCGAATGGTTTACACAGTGCGCTGGGTCAGCGCTGTTGCAGGGCACATTTCATACACGCTCAGCGTTTGGAAAAACCTGAGGAAGGCGGCGTTCAGGAGAGCTGGAAGACCGGAGCAAAGGCACAACTGGAAGCGGTCCTGATGCAAAGGAAAGGCAGAAGTAGCAGCAGGCCAGTAATGCTCTGAACACCAAACAATGAATCCTACCAAAACTGGGAATTTGGACAAATTGCTAAAGAGAACAAACGACACGTACAAGTACTCAGGGAAAACAGCAGAAAGGCTAAGGTACAAAACAAGTTACAGCCTGCAAGGAAAATAAGAAGGCAGTAAGAAGAGGTTCATTAAATACGCTAGGAATGAGAGAAAGATGAAGGAAAATGTAGGTCTGTTACTTGTTGGGGAAGGAGAGTTAATAACTGATGCAATCAAAAAGGCTGAAGTGTTTAAGGCTGATTTTGCTTCAGTCATTGCTGGCAAAGGTTAATAGTGACCACATACACAAGTGATTATTAATAAAGGGGAAGGAATGCAAGCCAAAATAAGGAAAGAACAGGCGAAATAGTTAGATAACTTAGCTGTATTCAGATCAGTAGAGCCTTTGATGAAACTCATCTAAGGTTACGTAAGGAACTAATGGAAGCAATCTCAGAAACATTAGCAATAATCTTTGAGGAGAGGTGAGGTCCTAGAGAAAGGGATCTCAACAAAATTTTGGTGGCCTCAGAGTGTGGTCACCAACTCCTGTTCAACAGGTACACGTTACTCCAGAACCCCTGTACTGTAACAGCAGGCTGACAGAAGTATGTTTTCATTCTTGAATCATTGCACATTTTCAGCATGAGGAATTTGAGGCTACGTCCTCACTACGGGGGGGGTCGATTTAAGATATGCAAAGCTGAATTCGACGTATCGGAGCCGACTTACCCCGCTGTGAGGACGGCAGCAAATCAACCTCTGCGGCTCCCCCGTTGATGCAAAACCTATCCCGGGGTGTGGAACTACCTACCCCGTCACTTTACCCCGCCCATGGAAAATCTATATATTCCATTGTAATCAATTGATTGGCAGTGTCTCTGAGCCTAATAAGCAAGGTGACACTCCATCAGCGTTGTACGTAATAAACTCCTATGCTTGACTTCTACACAGGATGGATTTATGTTCCTTCAATTCTTGAATCTGAAACTAGGAATATAAAATATAACTCTGAGGTCCTATTGTAGTTATGCAAAGTGTGGGTCATTAATGGTGGTTTGGAATCTTGATGGCTCCCATTAACTAGGACAATTAGTTGTAAATGGCTCTGTTTACTTGCAAGCCTTCCTGTGAATCAGGCCGGGAAGAATGAAGGCTTGGGGTCCCACAGGATATGTGACCATGTCACCTGGTACTGGAATCCATCTTAAACCTGGTGCTTTTCCATTTAGAAGGATAGGTAGGAACCCAGAGAGAGACAAAGGATTCCCACCTTGTTCCAAAGCTGTAAAAGAGGGTGGAACAGAACAAAGGAGGCTGCAGCCATGAGAAAGCCACTAGCTACCACCTGAGCTGGAACAAGGACTGTACTAGGGGAAAGGATTGGGCCCAGACTAGGAAAGAATCTAGTCTGCGAAAGAAGCTTATTGGAACATCTCTAAGGGTGAGATTTACCTGCATTTGGTTTCCTACTGTACTGAACTTAGACTTGTGTGTTTTTGTTTTATTTTGCTTGGTAATTTACTTTGTTCCGGCTGTTGTTACTTGGAACTACTTACATCCTACTTTTTATATTTAATAAAATCACTTTTGTTTATTAATTAACCTCAGAGCAAGTATTAATTCCTAGGGGAGCAAATAGCTGTGCATCTCTCTTGATCAGTGTTATAGAGGATGGACAATTTATGAGTTTACCCTGTATAAGCTTTATACAGAGTAAAACAGATTTATTTGGGGTTTGGATCCAATTGGGAACTGGGTATCTGGGTGCTGGAGACAGGAGCACTTCTTAAGAGGTTTTCAGTTAAGCCTGCAGCTTTTAGGGGACATGGTTCAGATCTGGGTCTCTGTTTGCAGCAGGCTACCGTGTCTGGCTCAACAAGACAGGGTACTGAAGTCCCAAGCTGGCAGGGATAACGGGCTCAGAGGTAGTCTCAGCACATCAGGTGGCAGTTCCAAGTGGGTTTCTGTGACCCAACCCGTCACAGACAGCACATAGACCTTTTCCTGTTGTAGCCAGCTGTAACTGATAGGGAATGTTAGGCTTAGGATAAGCAAGTGTCAGAGCCTTCATAAGGGCTTGCTTTAGTCTGACAAAGGCATTTTTCTGTTCTCCCCATATCCAGCCCTGTCCCTTCTTTAGAAACTGGTACAGAGGGCAGGCCATCTTTACGTAACTTTCAAAGAATTCTCTTGAGAATCCTGTCAGGTCGAAGGAGCGTAGAGCAGATATGTTCTGTGGAGCAGGAAGCTTATTTATGAGCTCAATTCTTTGCGCGTCTGGTTTTCTTCCTTCAGCTCCTAAGTCTATGCCCAGGTACGTTATTGTTTGGCACACCAGGTGAGCCTTCGTTGGATTGACAAAAACCCTGTATCCTTGATTCTCTCCAGCACTTTGTCAAGTGCCATTAAATTTTCTTCTTTATTGGTGGTGGCAAACACATCATCATCAACATACCTTAGGATCCTCTCCCAGTCTTCCAAGGAGTCCCACATTTTTATCACATGGCTATGGCAACTAGCTGGCACACTGTGGAAGCCTTGTGGGATGGGGCAGAATGTATATTGCCAGTTCTCGAAGGTGTATGCAAATTTGTACCAGGTTGACTCGTGCAGTGGGATCAAAAATATAGCATTTGACAAAGTCTAAAACTGAAAACCATCTGGCTCCTGATGTTATGGTAGCCATTATTTCATTGAATTTAGCTACAACTGGAGTTAAGCAAGGGATTAATTTATTTAACTCCCTGTAATCTAAGTGAGCCGCCAGGTTTTCTGGTCAGCCTTTAAGACTGGCCATACAGGTGAATTGCAGATGCCTTCAGTTTCTGTCAGCACCCCTTGGTCCACTAGCGCCTGGATGGTTTCAGTCAACCCTTCCTCTGCTGCTGCAGGATAGTGGTATTGGTGCTGAGGTTTCGGATTGGGACCTTTCACAATGAGTTCAACCTTAATTTTCGTGCATTGCAGTTTATTGCTAGCAAAGGCCTCTAAGTGTTGAATAGCCACTGCTTTTACTTCAGGTTCCCAATTTGGATTGACCAGCTTCTCCAGTGCTTTCAATGCTGCTACACGATGGGATACAGGTATGATTTGGCATCCTTTATCCTCTAGGTCTCGCATTAGTCATCTGTTTGGCAGATCCACTACCACCTTCATTTTTGAAAGTACATCCATTCCCAGGATGCCACTGCCATCCAGCTGTTGGATTCCAAATGTTGTCTTGATAATGAACAGATCGATGTTGCATTCAATAGGTTCAGAGAAAGAAGCTATGCTCTCTTTACCATTGAAACCTTGAAGAACCTTTACCTCTTTCACAGGTAAGTTCTTAGCTTTGGTTCAGATTGGGTGCCCACTATTGAGATAGTGGCACCAGTATCATCGAGCATCCTCTGCTCAAAATCTCCCCTTAGAACCACAGATGTTGTTGGTCTTCCCCATTGATCGTTCCTGATTTGTGCCACCATCAGGGCCTTAAGCCCAGGAACCGCAAAAGGTATACACATGGTGGGTAAAAGATATAGCAAAAGATTTAACATATCACCATATTTGCAGGGGAGGATCACACACACGCAGGAACAGAGACAGGAACATGGGATACCACAGAGGCAGGGATCGATGAGGACACCAGGATATACGGAGATGGATATTCAGATGGAACACAGGTTAGGTAATCTTCAGATAAGCTGATCTCCTTCTCCTACACTTGTGTCATCCTGGGTGGATGTATGTGGACACTAACCTGATAAAGTGATGGTATGCCAGGTGAGTGGGAGCAATGCAATTGCAGATGGAACAACAGGCACTGGTCTGCCACTATGATGGGCAGCAGCCGCAGGACGGGTGAACCAACCTTAAATACTCTATTACGAGGCAGATTAGGGTCATGTGACCTTACCTTTTCCCGCCTTGCGGAGAAAAAGGGCACCAAACCTGGCAACAAGGGCACCAAAAATGGAGGGACAACCACCACCCCTTGAATCCAAGATGGCTAAGTAGGGAAAAACAATAAAAACAGAAAAATTTCCTACAAAACCACCTTTGTGGCTTTCTGCTCCTGGAGCTGATGGATGCTGGCACAAGATAGAACAGCTTGGAAAATACAAGCCAATCTATACGGAGAATCTTCCCACCAAAATCAAACAAGAAAGTAGTTTTAAATTGAGACACTTTGAAAAAGTTCACCTCTGAAGATTATTCTAAGACATTCTCTTG